GGCGAGTGATGATGATAAGAAAGAAAACTCTTTTGTAACCGAAAAAATAAAAGTAATCGCGCTATCCGCAAAGCTGGCAACGGTTGTCCTGCTCGATAATCTCAACGTATTTTACCTAGTGCAAAGTGTCAATCAGTTCGATCGGATGAATTCAGGTCCAGCCACCTATCACTTCAAATCATCTCAAACAAGTATTCGTTCTGAGAAGTACAGTAGTGCTCTATCAGTCCTCGTAAAGAAAAATTTAAACAGTGAACGAATGAGTTTACTGTAAACCTTATCTAAACAGGATACCGTAAAAGTTTTATTAGACGTATCATTAAGAAAGTCAACAAACCCAACCGCAAAGACTTGCTGATTTACAAATCTGAGGATGGTTGGCGGGTGCACAAGTGTTGTTTGCTCCTCTTTTCCTATAAAAAATATCTCATCCTTATATCCCTTCCTTTGTTTCTGTATGTTACTCTCTGGTAACACCTCTTTCTACGTTTTATGATCTAAGTGGCTTGAAACTCATACTAAAACTAAAAACTAAACACCAGTTGTAAGCAGGTATTTACCTTAAACTTCTGGACCTCTATATAGAAGAAAAGATCTTTGTCTATCTGCGGCTCCTTCGCCTCTTATGTGACCTATTTATGATGCAAGTGCCGTACAACTCGAAAAAACCCCCGAAAAACTAAACAGGTATTTACCTTAAACTTCTGGACCTCTATATAGAAGAAGAGATCTTTGTCTATCTGCGGCATCCCGTCCTCCTCTCCGTGTTTCATGAGGTACTTGTAGAAGTAGAGCATGGACAGGGTCGGGTGACCGCTGGCAGATAGCCCTAGGGCCGCCAGGAACTCGTTCTTGTCTTCTCTCGTGGCTTGGGCACGGCCGGTTGTCTGATGGGGGAGGGGGGGATGAGGGGAGGATGGAGGGATAGATAGACAGACGGACAGATAGACAAGGTACCAGAGAGGCAGGGGAGGCAGGGAAAGGCAGAGGGTAGTACAAGGAAGGGGGAGGGGAAGAAGAGGGTATAATAGTTTAGGGGTGGGGAGGTGCAGAACAAGAGGGGGGGCAGAGGGGGGTGGGGAGGCAGAGAAAGAACAGGGGGGAGAGGGAGGGAAAAAGAGGGCATAACAGGTTGGGCGGAGGGAGGTAAAGGTGGAGGGCAACAGAAACGGGGGTCAAGGCAGGCGGAAGTTGAAGGGTAGGAAATGAAGAGAGCGGACGAGAAGAGGGGAGACGGAGCGAGCCAGGGAAGGTTGTTTGGGGGGGGGGGGATTAGAAGATTAGAAGAACAAAGAGTGAGAGTGAGTGTCTGTGTGAAGAATGACACACCCTGTGTAAGAATGGAGGGTCGTTAACGTAAGAGGTGGGGTATTTTTTATTTTTTTTGGGAGGGGGGGCATACCAAAGTGACTATCAAATGGCTTATAATGACATGATAGAGTCACTATTCAATGGTTTATAAAGACATACTACGGTGACTGTCTAGTGATGTAATTTTATAAAGTCTCACAATAAAAGCACACGCCTAACTGTGGTTTATGAAAGCATACACGTACTATAGCGACTTTAATATAGCTGTTTGTAGACATGCTATAGTGACTACCCAGTGATTCATAAAGACATACTATAGTAACTATCCGAAGGTTTAAAATTATGACTATTAGTGGTTTTAACTAACTATTATGAATATTTAATGGTTTATGAAGACATAAAATTATGGTGACTATCTGTTGTTTATATAGACGAAGAACAGTGACATATCCACTTATCTATAGAAAAAAAATATCCACTTGTTTTAAAGCTAAAGGTGTCAGACGAACCAGAAATGCTATTTTTAAGAGCAACGTATATCATTTTTTTAAAAATTCAACATGAGACACATGCTAACGTTCTGTGGGGAATAAATGCTGTCAATAGAAGCTCCCTCCCCCC